GTGTTCTCTGAGATGTGCTGACCCGCGGAAAGGCCCTCACGGCCCGGCTAGGGACGCAGCCCAGTCCCGCTGGCAGGTCCCGAGGGCCAAGGGCAGTCGCCCCGGCTCCAGGGAGCAGGGGAAGGCGGCCCCAGCTTCCCCACCCCCTCAAACCGCCCCGCCTTTTGTATTTCCCAGCGTTTCTGAAGCTTCGAGCTCTCCCCTCTCGCGAGGGAGTTCCTCTGCGGGGCTGAGCGATTGCACATTTTTTTGTGGAGAAGGACTCGTACCAATCCAGATCTGGTCCCCACCCTGCCACTGGGAGGGGAGGGGCGGGGGACACGCCCGGGAAAGCTGACAATCTTTGTGGGGAGGGTAAAGGCTGGGTTGGCCTACAGAAGGAAATGCAGAGTGCACTTGGCACCCCTAGACCTTCCAGCTTCCCTGCCTTGCCTCCCCCAGCCCTGCCAAACCTTGCTCCCGAGGAGAGGCCAAAGAGGCTAAGAACTAGCCTCTTCACTCATTACCCCTCCCCCATTGATATGTCCTTGCAGGTGAGAGCACCGAACACTTTAGAATTTGCATCCTCCCAGAAACCCTGGTGGGGAAAGTGCTGCCTGATGGAAGTTGAACTTCCGGAGAGCAGCACGCCATAGACCCTTAGAAGAGTTATGGAATGGTGGCAAGAACGGGGCTGGAGCTATTCCAGCGCAGTTCTTCTCGGGTCTGCCAGGCAGGTATGTAGGGATTGGAGCTGTGCTGGGGAAGCGCCCTGGGACAGGGCAAAGACTGCTGCTCCCCCTCAGGAGCCTGTTCTGGGAGTTTCCCTAGTCCTGTTATTGGTGCTAACCTTGCCCAGCTTCTAAGCAGCTGGCTGCACCCAGAGGCAGGAAAGAGGGCTGGCTTCTTGGAAGTAGAAGCTATTGATAGAAGTTTGGGTTTGCAAGGGGGAATATCCCGCTCCAGGGATGCCTCTAAGTCTATCTGAGAGTGGTGGGATGCCCCTATGACCCTCTGTCTTGGTGGGGAAATGGTAAATAGAAAGCAGGATTCCTCCCCTCTCCCACTCTCCCAGCTACCCAACCCCCACTACCAAAGGCAGGAAATACAGTTTCAGTCCAGCTCATTGCCCCCAGCCCAGCCCAGCCTAGAAACACAAACTCCCCAAAGCTCCATCACCATCCCTCTTGGGTTGGTCCTACATCGAGTCCTAAGTGCCTGTGAGTTCTTCCAGGGGCTGCCAAGGGAGGACGCCTTTCCCTCACTCAGACACTGGTCCCTGGCAGGTTCTGACCCTGGCTTGAAGATACACATTCTGCATGTCACCCAGGGGTTGGGAGGAGAGCAGAATCAATCTCTATAGGTAAAAAACTCTTCTCCCATTAAGGCCCCCAGGGAGAAGTGGGGAATCCCCAGTCATATCCTCTTTTGCCCTGTTAGAGGGAGGGAGAATTTGGTAAGAAGCAGAACCCAGTGAGCACACTTCAGGCCTGGTCAAACATGCTGCCCCCTCCCAGCTGACCCTATCCAGGATTGATGAATCCACCAAGCAATAACCAGGCCTAGTCTGGGCTGTCCAGCTCCTGGGAGTAAGGCAGCAGAGGTGGCAGTCTGGGAACCTTTCTCTCATTGCCTTACCTCTACCCCACTAGCCCCTGTGGCTGTGCCCAGGCATCTGCCTCTCCTCAAGAGTGTATGATTCACTGTGCCCCATTCTGCTGCCCTCCCTAGCAGAACCTGTGGGGGAGAGGGCTCACTCCCCTCTCTTGAAGGTACCTGGAGGATTATGGGAAGAGGAAAGTTCTCTTCCAGAGGAACTCACATTGACCTTCATCTCCCACAACCACACCTTTGGAGTGAACAGGGTGACTTTGTTATGTTGATTCTTCTGCAGAGATGGCAAAGTCCTTTATCCACCGCCCACCCATCCTCTAAAAGCCATAGCTGTGCCACCTGGCCTCCTTCAAAGCTCTGTAGCAATAGCTCTCTTCCTTTTTCTTCCTCAGTACCTGGAGTGTCTGGCTAGGGCACCCACCATACCCAGCCCCAGGAATCCTCAGTGGCCTGCCTGCCTCTCCCCAAGAGACCCTATCAGCATTGTGCAAACCCTGTCCCTCCTCCAGCAACCAGATAATGATACTTAATTGTTTGGTAGTGCTTGGAGAGTCCCCAGATGAAAGAGAGTGCTGGGGTGGCTGACCTGCAGCTGATGTGTTTGGGGGTGGCTGGGAAAGGAAATAATGCAACCCTTATCTCGGGGAGGAAGAGTGGCGGGAGGCCTAAGGCAGACACAGGGTTCCAGTTTTAACAGAAATACCCCTTCCCCTACTCTCATCTGGAAATAAAGGAATAGAGACTTCCTTCCACCTACCTGCAGCCTCAGGGCCTGATTGGGGCCCTGCCCTCAGCTTCCACTTCCTCCCCTTCCTGGTCCTGGTTTGAGGGACCCACCAGGCCTAGCTCTTGGAATATTTGGGTGAATGAGAAGGGAAAGGAATGTTTTTTGTCTCTCTTCTCTATTACATGCACCCCACTGGTGGAAGGAGGGGAGTGTTGACATGGACACTCAGAGTCCCTAGGCAGGGATCCCACCACATTCCAAGTATAGAAAGTCCCAGAAGGGAGAGCTGCAGGTAGATGGAAGCCCCCCAGTGTTCAGGAAGCTAGCCAGGGCACAGTGGGCAAAGTTGTATGAGGCTCTATACCCATGACCCTGTAACCCTTCCATCATGACCTGCACTTTGTGGGACCAGTTCAGGGCAGTATAGAGCCCTACCTAGTGGAGAAGGAGGCCAGAGGGTGTGGAGCAGTATCTCCTCACTTGCAGAGCCCGGGGGACCCCTAAATGCCCTCTCACTGATATGTCAGCCTTCAAAGGAGGACATGCAGGGCAGAGGGATCCTGCTCCGAATTCTCTGTTGGCTGCGCTTTTTAACCCAATGCTTTTCAGAGTGTATTCACTCACCCCCAGAAATAGAGCCCTGTGCTTTAAGGGGTGACTGTCATATGCCTTATTCTTAATAAAATATTTGAAAAACAAGCAAGTCAGCTCTTTTCCTAGGGCACTGCCTGCTACCCCATCTCTGTTCCTGCAAGTTTGGGGAAAAGAGGTAGAAAGTGGCTTGGGAGTCAGCAGGTGGAGTGAGCAAACTGAGTCTCAAGGGTTCCCTCAGCAGATATGCCTCAGATAAAGCATAAGGTGTTCTCTGAGATGTGCTGACCCCCTGCCTATTGCTGCCATGTAACCCATGCCAATGAACAATGAACGAAAGCTGTCTTAGATCAGAGGCTCTTGTCTAGGCTGGGGAGGGATAGATTGGTAGGATCCCATGCGTGGAATTATCCATTGTTCTGCCTAAAAGGAATCATGAGTTTTGGGCATCTTTGGCTGTGAGGGTTCCCTGCCTCTATCTGTGCATTTATTTATTTATTCACTTATTTACTTTTCCCCAGTACTAAGGATTAAACCCAAGGGCAGTCTACCACTGACTTACCTCCCCAGCCCTCTTCATTTTTATTTTATTTTATTTTTTGGTATTGGGGTTTATACCCAGGGGCACTTAACCACTGAGCTGCATCCCCAGTCCTTTTTATTTTGCAACAGGGTCTTGCTAAATTGCTCAGAGCCTAAATTGCTGAGGTTTGCTTTGAACTTGCAATCCTCCTGCCTCAGCCTCCCAAGTAGTGGGGATTACAAGCATGTGCCACAGCTTCCCTGCTCCCATCTGATGCAACTGTAAAAAAACCCAACATCACAGAAGTGAGTCCTTTCTTATTCTCTGTTAATGAGAGTTATCTTAAGACTGCAGGCTTAGGAACTCAGCTTACCCAGCACCCACAAGAATTCAAACCAAAACACTTTCAGTCTAGGTCTATGTTGTGGATGAGTCTAGGAGAAAAAAGCAGTAGCTTCACATCCCAAAGATACAAGGGATCCTGATAATAGGACCCTTCTTTTCCTTTTGAGGAACAGCATTCTGCCCGTCTCCATATTTTTTGGGGGGATGACCCCCCCGCCCCATGGCAAGGTAGGTCATGTTGTTTGGTTTAAAGATGGGTACATAATTCAATCTGAGCCAATGAGAATCAATAATAGGACTTTTATTAAAGCCACTCATTGAACACTCCATGTTAGGTGCTAAGGTTATAGTAGTGAACAAAATAGGACTGTTGACAAGGACAGCTCGGTCAGGTGGCTTAAATGGCAGATGATCTGTTTGGCGGTCTGGCAGTTCATTTGCTACTATAAGAGATAAGGCTGCCAGAGTATGAAACTATCAGAAAAGAAGCAGAACCAGGAGAGATGAAGAGTCTCCTGGATCCAGTTATGCCTGAAGCTCATACAACCCTGTATCTTTCCTTTATATTAACCAATAAGTCCCCTCCCCCTTCCACACTTTTGCTTTTTTTAAGTGGTCAGCATTGATTTGTGTTTTTTTCCCTGTTTATTATTTTTTTCTTTTTTTTTTAAAGAGAGAGGGAAAGAGAGAAAGAGAGAGAGAGA